ACATGATGTTCTTTCCCCCCTGGAAATGAGGCAGCTGACTTAGGCATTTGTTGTAGAATAGTGCAGCCAGTGGCACTTTTCTACTCCAGTTTTTTGGTCTTTTTTTTTTTTTTCTTTTTTTTTTTTTTTTTTCTTTCCTGTGTGCCTCCCTTCTCTTCTTTCACCCCGCCCTCTTCTCCAGCAATGTGGCTTGCAATGACACAGGGTCTTTGTCAGAGGAGCTGAGTGGGGATGGTTCAGCAGGAGCTTTATCTCTGTGCTATGTTAGGTCACAGGCATTTAGGCCGCAAAACCCTTTAGTGAGGCTTTGGCTGCTGACTGGAGTGTTGCTAAGAAGAACCCGTGAGCCAGGCTTGCAGTTCTGACAACATCATTGTTCGCCTTGTGATGTGAAGTCTTTATGGTGTTTATGAAAACTTCCTACAGCTTTATCTAAGGAAAGAATTTTATTTATTTATTTATTTTTCTGCTGAACACGCATTTTCTTTTTGATGTGATACGGCACTGGGGATTGGGATGGGAATATTATCTGCTCCTATGAAATGGATGTTGGCAAATATCACATGAACAGGAAAAGAGACTTTTTAAGGTGGATGACTTATCTCTATGTGTATAAACGTGGAATGATTCTCCCTTGTGATCAGAGTCCACTCTGGCATTGAATGCAGCTGGTATTCAAGAAGAGATTTCGATTCCATTACATAGTTCTAGAAGCAGCGTTGAGTCTAATAAAGGTGTTAGAAAAATACATGCTCCCACAGCATTATTTGTGTTATATCATAATAAAGGAGGATATCCTTTAAAAAAAAGAGCCCAAACCTTATTTTTAAGATCTTGCAAGCTAGGCCAGAAATATGTTCCAGGATGAAACTTGACACATAGCTTCACTTGACAAACACTTTGTATCTCTGAATTATTTTTTGTTAGTGCTAGGGAAGTCTATGAAACTATAATTGCTTGGCAGAGAGAGGCGCGGAATTAGTGTTACTGTGTCTTGTCCTTTATGACACTTTTATCAGTGTTTCAGCAATCCAGTACCACTAATTCACATAATTTTTCCTGTTCCAGAGGTTTCTTTTTCCTGTTGTGCATGTTTGCACTGTGAAACACTAAAGTAAATTAATAAATAAGACTTTTTGTTTTGGTGCATATTTTGATTTATAGTCTTAAGTTGCAGAATATTGCAACGTTTTATTTCCTTCCACTGAAAGAATCGATGACCAGATCTTGTTTGTAAAATATCTTATATTTTTTGGTATTGAGAGGAGAGGGTTAAAAAAAAGTGAAATTACAAGTGGTGTAAATGTAAATTATTTAGCTCACAACTTTTTTCTGTCTTTTTTTAAATGTTGCCTTTTTAAATAAAGGGCTACCTTGGTAAACTGGAATGGCTTTGAGGAGCCATTTTGTAGAAATAGGTGCATGCATCTTATTGAAGTGTGGCCATCCAATCGACTAATACACTGAATAGCTCATTTGCACTGTTTCTACTCCTA